GTTTTATTTGTTGTTTGTTGATTTTTAAATATAAAACTTGAAGTGATTTATGTGTCGGTACTTTTTTAATATCTCAAGCACATTTTAACAATACCGATAACCGTGATAATTTTGGTCACTATAATCGTGATAAGAAATTTTCATACCGTTACATCCCTAAATATAGTGCTGTCAAACAATTAATCGCGATTAATCGCAACCAAAATAAAAGTTTTTGTTTACATAATATATGTATTTTTATATTATATATAAATATATGTAATATGTAAACATAACATATCATATTTTTCTATATAATAATAAATATATACATGCATGTGTTTGTGTGTGTATATATATATATATATAAAATTAAGACTTTCAGTTTGAATAGCTATATTTTATGTAACATATTTAACCATTTGATTAATGTTTTAGTCTCTTCTGCTCACCAAGGCTGCATTTATTTGATCAAAAAATACAGTAAAAACAGTAACATTGTGAATTATTATTACAATTTAAAATAACTATTTTCTAAGTGAATATATTGTAAAATGTAACTTATTTCTGTGATCAAAGCTGAATTTTGAGCATCATTACTCCAGTCTTCAGTGTCACATGATCCTTCAGAAATCATTCTAATATGCTGATTTGCTGCTCAAGAAACATTTATTATTATTATCAATGTTGAAACAGTTGTGCTGCAAAATATTTTTGTGGAAACCATGAATAAAAAAGTTCAAAAGAACATTTAATTGAAGTAGAAATCTTTTGTAACATTATAAATGTCTTTTCTCTCACTTTTGCTCAATTTAATGTGTCCTCACTGAATAAAAATATGAATAATTAAATCTTACTGACCCCAATCGTTTGAACAGCAGTGTATGTGTGATTGATTGACCTCTTGGGGTTGTCTGTGTGTCAGTCTGGTGGAGTTGACCGAGGACATCCTGCGGCAGTTGATGGATCTGGTCTTCCGGCTGGTCTGTAATGGAGAGCTGAGTCTGGCGAGGGTCCTGCGAAAGAACGTCCTCGATAAAGTGGAACAGAAGAGGCTCCTGCGACACATGCACATGCTGAAACCTCTCGCCGCGCGGGGCGTCTCTGCCAGGTAAATGTCAAAGTTCAGGGGTCATCAGGGCGGGTCTCATCTGTGCTGGTTTGTCTGTGTTTAATCGGTTCTTTCTCCACAGGCCCGGCACGCTGCATGATTTCCGCAGTCATGAGATCGCCGATCAGCTGACGTTGCTGGATGCAGAACTGTTTTACAAGATTGAGGTAACACACACACACACACTGTTTTACTTGATATAGTAATGGAAAAAAAGTTTTTTGAGATTTGTGAGTGTAAAAAGTAATACCTGCTGTTCTCACTGTCATCTCTGTCTTCAGATTCCTGAGGTGCTGCTTTGGGCGAAGGAACAGAATGAAGAGAAAAGTCCAAATCTGACCCAGTTTACAGAGCACTTTAACAACATGAGCTACTGGTACATATTTACTGATACCTGCTATGCCTTCAAAATGACGCATGCTTTCTATATATGCAATTTGAAGTTACAATTTTTGTTGTAATTTCTCTTAAACATAATATCGACGTATATAGGGCCTTATGAAATCCATTGTATAGTATTTTTATTCCCAAATTAATTAAAAATTAATCAAAAAGCATTATTAAGTAATTGAAATCATGAGACTTGTACAATTTAAAAGCAATTTATTAAAGTTTTACATTTATTATTAAAAATTTAATTTTTTGAGGCCTATAAAAATCTTTTATTTTTCCCAAATTCGGTCTTTTCCGTTGAATTCTTTTTTGATTAATTTATAATGGGTTAATGGTTTAATTAAATGTTAATAATAAAAAAATTATAATGAATGAATTCAATATATATATATATATATATATATATATATATATACGTATATAAAAAGAAAGATAAAGAAAAAACATTAATATGGTCCTTTGAAGTTTTATTATTTATTTTTATTTTTCTGTGAAATTCTGTGTTGGCTGTTGTAATGTTTCTGGATTTAAAATTTTATGAAAATGTATTATCAAAATGGTGGTATTCAAATTAATGCGTCAAACATTAAATTAATTAATATTTTTAAAATGTAATCAAATTTAAATTTAACAATTACTTTTATTTTTGTCAGATAAGTGATGCAAAACAGAGGTTTGTTATTATTATTGTTATACAATTATACAATATTCCTTAAAAAATATTAATATTATTACTATGAAAAGTATGTTCTACTGTACAATAGCGATATATTTGTCACAATTTCTTCAAGTTAAGATTAAAGGGGTCATATGATGCGATTTCAATTGTGTGTTACAAGCTCTTGGTGCATAAAGAAGATCTGTAAAGTTGCAAAGACTAAAGTCTCAAATCCAAAGAGATATTCTTTATAAAAGTTAAGAGTCAGCTACATCTACCTAAAATGGCTCGTTCTAACACGCCCCCACATGTCTACATCA